TTAGCTGTCTTCAATCTCTGTTCGTTGATCATCTCTGATACTCTACGTTCTTAACAGCAGACCAGTGACTTTTCTCTCTTGCTACCTTTAACAATTACTGGATCCTCTCCAAAGATTAGGATGTTTATAAGGGACATGTTTTTTTTCTACCCAAATCAGTTTAAGTGTCAGTTTTTACCAACTGATCAGTTAAACATGAACTAAACAGTAGTTTCTAAAATCATTTGCTTTTGGAAATTTAGGAACCTTATACAAATTGTTCAAGGAAATGCTGTTCATAACCTGCAATTATAGCAGGTGCAGCATAATATTCATCCCCATACACGAGCTCATTTTAAGAGGAATATTTCTAAATTATCACTTCACAATGGCTAGTTAATCAACATCTAACAAGCATAATCCTAGCATAAAAATTCTTAAAATGCATTAATTAGTACATTCTTCTGGTAATATTGCAAATTTCTAAATTAAAATTCTTACTTGCACACAATGCATTGTCTGTGAGGCTGAAGAGCAGTGAACATTATTATCACAGAGTAGTTTCTTGGTGGTGCCTTTATGAGACGTCGAAATTTGTCCCCATTCAGTCGAATAACTGATCTTTTGCTAGTCCATTCCATCAACTGGCTTACTTTTTCTGAAAGCACCATCTAGGTAAGAAAGAAATTCTGCAATGTGAAATGCATGCCATTTTTCAGCCCCCTACATGGTCACATCTTAAATGTTAATTTATTTCACTTGAATACACATCAGTGGTTATCATGCACAGTGCCAGTTCCCACTAATTTATCATGATGTGGTAAATCTGGAATACTACAGGATTACATGATTCTCTCTTCACATGAAATTCCACAATTTCCACCCTTTTTCCCCTTTCGTTCTCAAATTCATCTGCAAGAAATTCACATCCTTGGCAAGACTGAAAGAAGCCCAACAATACATGAATATTCAATATTTTTAACCCTCTATGAAAAACAAGGTCTGCAAATTGAAAAGAATAAACCCAGGCAAGGTCTAGTCCTGCCTTAGGTATGAAGAACCAGCTGGGTGACTTTGGAACAGTCTCTCTCTCTCAGCCCAACCCACCTTGCAGGGTTGTGGTTGTGGGGAAAATAGGTGAAGGAGTATTAGCTATGATCATCGCGCTGAGTTATTTATAAAAATAATAAAGACAGAATTTAAAAAAAAACCATATTGCCTAACCATGCTGTTGCGTGCCAGGGCTCCATCCCCCCCCCCCAGCAACCACCCTCCGAGGGGGATTAGGCTGAGATCAACACCAGTGTTGCATTTGTCAACTCCGGATACCTCTTCTGCAAAGGCAGCCGCATCTTCCCCCGGCCTGTTCGGCAAGCGCAAGGCAGGAAGGCCTTACTACAGACGGTCTGCAGGGCCTAGGCAAAGAAACGGCGGAACCCCGACTGGGGGACGGACGTGGCGCTCCTCGGAAGCCCGGCCGGGGCGGACGGCACACCGCGCGGCCCAGGGAGAAGCTTCGAGCGGCGTCCAGGACCGCGCTGGGAAGCTTTCCCTGCCGAGCATCGGGTTGGATCGGCTCGCCTTCAGACGAGGCGGCCGTGGAGCCCGAGGCAGGCACGGAGGAGCCGGGAGGGTCCAGCCCGCTTCCCAGCGAGGCTGCTCAGGCGTCTGAAGCGCTTCTTCCCGCGCCGCGTTGCCCCTGGCCAGGCGGAGGGAAGAAGCGCGAGACCCGGCGCGGCTTCCAAAAGGCGGCCGCCAACGGCTGGGAAGGGGCGCCGGGCTTCGGGCGGCAGCGATCCCGGCTTCCGCGCGTCAGCCCTGCGGGCCTCGGCTCAGGCTCTTTGCGCATGCTCAGCGGAGCCCTCTCGACCCTCTTACCCGCGGCCGCCGCGCCGCTCACCTCTTTTTTCTTCTGCCCCTCCGCTCCGGGGCCGCCCCAGCCGACCAGCAGCACCAGCCCGCCCAGCGTCAAGGCCCGCAGGAGCAGCAGCCGCGGCGCCGCCATGGCCGCCAGACTCTCTTCGCTCGGAGAGACGGCCGACGCCGGCAACCCGCCTACCATTGGTCGGACGGGGAGTCGGGCCAGCTTCTGATTGGTCAAGCTGCTATTCCGCCGCCTGCCATTGGTCCATGGCCTTTCCTGTTCCGCTCAGCCCCCGACCTTCTACCTTTGGGCGGGGAAAGGGTCCAAGAGGCGCTCTGCAACGCGTGAGAAGGGGGCGATCTGGTGCGACGTGATTGGAGGGCGGAGGCGGAGCTGCCGTCCAAATCGCTGTGGCCCCGCCCCCAGCTCTCTAGCGGGACTGGCTGCGGCGGATGCCAGTGGGAGGAGGAAGCGAGCCCTGGCTGAGGGAGGAGGGCGCCGCCTGAGGGCCAGAGGGCGGCCGCACTCGAGAGTCCGTTAGCGAGCTTGATAAAATCGGCCTCTATTAAAATAAAGTTAAGAATAAAACTTCCCGTCAGCCTTCACCAGTCTCCAAAATGAAGGTCTTGGAATTAGAGAAGCTGGTCAAAGGAATTGTCGAGGCAGAAAGTTAACTCTCTTAATCGTAACTGTATAAAAAAGTCTGTATTTGTGTATTGTTGACTCCCTTTTGCTGAAGTACTTCAATAAAAGTTCCTCGAACCACCTCTGGTGCCTGGTTCTGATTGGCATCTGTGCCAGCTTAAATCCAGTTTGCAGACAACAAAAATAGATGAAAGAATGAACAGTCTATAATACTAAAACTCTTGTTCCCATAATTTTTATTTGGGTGAACAGTGCAATATAGCAATGCGATAATTTTTGAACCAAAGTACCTCAAATGGGCTAACTTTCACAATTGCATCCAAAATCCGGGACCCATGAATCCTGAAGGAGTGAAATTCAGCAAATGCTATAAAATGCTTTATGACATAAAAATTATGATAAAGCATTTGTATTGCATAATACAAAGTCATAACTTTTTTGTGTTATACAGTTTAACCAGGGGTATTTTCAAGGCAGATATATCTGAATGCATCCAAACATTTCCTGTGAAGGCAGTACATTAGAAGTTCTGCCATGGTTGAAGGGACTGAGAATCTGTTAAGAAAATATCTCTGAAAAGGTAACACACCAGGTTATGTGTTGTATATTTAAAATGACAAAGTGAAAATAAACCCCGTGAAATATTAACACTTTTTAATGTGCTTGGGAAGTTCTTTTTAAAATGTCTTTGCTACTTAAAATAACAATTTTGTGTAAATCCAACCAAATAAATGAACAGTGGGAATAGCATCATTCTACCACTGAATTTTAACAAAGTGATCTTATATATCATTAGGATATTCCACTGTATTTAAAGAGCCATAGCCCAATCCCATTTAAGTGATTAATGGATAAAAATAATAAATGATAATTACATAAGAACACCATAATCCTTAAGTCCATTATTCACTATGGTACAGTTTTGCTGAAAACCAGAAATGCCTGTTTTTGGCAAAACTGTCATAAAATGCAGTCAGATGATTGTGGAACTCTGCAAACAGCCATAAAACTGCTCAAAGTGGACTTAACTATCAGAACTTCGGATCCTACCCTTTTTCAGGTAGGTCATAACTTTGAACAAACAAGTACTGTAACTTTGAGAGGGACCTTGGAGTCCTAGTGGACAATTGCTTAAATATGAGCCAATCATGTGCAGTGGCAGTCAAAAAAGTTAATGCAATCCTTGGTTACATAAACAGGCATAGAGTCAAGACCACATGAAGTATTAGTACCACTTTATACAACCTTAGTAAAACCGTATTTGGAATACTGCATCCAGTTTTGGTCACCATATTATTAAAAAGGTTGACACTTTGGAAAGAATGCAGAGAAGAACAACTAAGATAATTAAGGACCTGGAGACTAAAACATATTAAGAACAGTTGCAGGATTGGTTTTGTCTAGTCTAGTGAAAAGGATTAGAAAGTGACATAATGACAATGTTCCAATATTTGAGGGGCTGCCAAAAAGAAAAGGGGGGTCAACTTATTCTCCAAAGCACCAGAGAGCAGGACAAGAAACAATGGATGGAAACTAATCAAGGTTGGAGCGCCCAGGATGTCTGAAGGCAAAGCATATACGGTAAAAAGAAACTTCCTAACAGTGAGGACAATTAACCAGTGGAACAGCTTTGCCTTCAGACATCCTGGGCGCTCCATCACTGGAAGCTGGGCAGCCACTTGTCTGAAATGGTATTCATGGGGGGGGGGGGACTTGAGCAGGGGTGGGACTAAGAAGATCTCCAAGACCTCCCTTCCAATTATTTTGTATTCTGTATTCAATCACTAAGTGACAGTCACAGACCACCTTTATTACTCAACTGTTACTTGTGCTTGTATGATACTGTCAAAAGATTATTTGGGGTTCTGAGCCTGGACTGCAATTAAAATGAAATCGCAACATGCTGTTTGAAAGTGAAAAAAATTATTCGGGAGCATAAAGATAACTCTCATAAGTAGGTACAAATGAGGATAGGCAGACTAGAAATAAATATAGGGAAGGAAGTATTTGTGAGAGTGTAGGGTATGAGTGTGTACAGATTATCTCTGATGTTTAATTTGGTGAACGTGTAACTCCAAACCAGAATTGAAAAACGCTACTTTAGCATATATTAAAAAATTCTTTGTTAAAAAATTCTATTAATTTCACAGAAGCGATCAACTTGCTCAGGAGGCAGGTTCTTCCCTGTCTGGACCGAGGCTGAGCGGCAGCCGGCGGGGTTCGGGCGCGCCAAGCCCCCTTCAGGAGCGGCCGCGGCGCTCTTCCTCGGCGGCGGCCGGAGGGAACCGGAGAAGTGGCCGGCAGCTCCCGGGCGAGGCGGTCTCGGGGGGGGGGGCGCCCGGGGAAAGAAAGAAGCTTGCGTTCATCCCGCGGCAGGGAGCGACGCCTCGAGAGAGGGGAAGCCCCTCCGCCCGGCCCCGCCGGGCCTTGGGGCGCCTGCGCGTCTTTCGCCTCTGGCACAGTTGATTTTGCGCTCTGCTGCCAAAAACGCTCTTTCCGCGGGACGGCCTTTCCACCGCCCCGCACCGCTTGCAGCGTCGGCGGCGTCTTCGCAGCCTCTCCGCCGCGCCATTTGCTGCGGCTGAACGTTCCCGAAGCCGACCCCAAAACGAAGCCTGTCGGAGGTGGGATTCGAACCCACGCCTCCATTCGGAGACCTGAACGCCCCACCTTCCGAGAAGGCTCTCCGCCTTGAGTCTGGCGCCTTAGACGGCTCGGCCATCCTGACGACGCGGGGAAAGGGCGCTGGCGGGGACCTTGAAGACTCCGCCAGGGATGCGCGGCGGAGAGACGCGACGTTGACGGGCGACGCGTCTCTTCTGAGCCGGGCCCGAAACGTGCGCCGTTCGGAGCCCCCTCAGGCGCCGCGGTTCGCTTCCCTGTGCGATTGCGGCGCCCCGCGCCCCCTTTTTCTTGCCAAACTACATCTCCCAGGATGCACCGCTGCCCGCCCCGCGGAGGGCGCGAGAGTGTGGCGTCCAACGCAGCGGCCATTTCGTTCTTCTCTTGCCCGGTGAGGTGACCGGAGAAGCGCGTTGGGCTTTCGAGATGTTTCCTTTGGCGCGAAGAGCTTTGGGCCTTTCGGGTGAGTGTGCTCTCCTCGGCAGGCCTGATGGAGGTGGGCGAAACATCTCCGACGCATGGGGAGGGAGGGGTGCGCCTCAATGAGGACTAGTTGCATGCTGTGCCTGTGCCACCCTCGTTCTTATTTGCAGCCTACCGCTGCCTTTGCCGTCTCCTCGGCATCCGACTGGCTCTTGCAGCGAAAAAGAAGCTAATTTTTAGCTTACGGCCCCTATTAAACCGCCCGGTTTGGTTGGGAAGTCAGCCGCCCTGGGGGGCCTCGGAGAAGCGCAGGCGCCGAGCGGCTCCTCTGCGAGCCTCTGAGGCCGAGTCAGCCGGTTCCCACGTAACGGGCAGCCCGACCCGGGAGATGATAAAGGCCTTCCCCTTTTATGCCCCTCGACCTTGGGCAGCTGCCCACAACCCAGAGCTTTGCAGCAGGACCCGCGAGGGCAGGGCGGCGATGGCCCAGCGCCAGTGGGGGGCCCTGCAGGCTCTTCCCTGCCCCCCCCGGCCCGCGGAGGGGCCCAGCTGGGCCCTGGGGGAGCCGTTTCCCGGGGGGGGCAGGGCGGGCACGCTTCGGGGGTCCCGATGGGTGACCCCGTTGGATCAGTGGAACCCGCCTGCGGCAGCCCCTCCGCTCGCCAGGCCCCGCACCGGGGAGGGCTTTTTCCACGGGCAGAAGCAGTCCCCGTGCCTGCCCGTTCCTGTCCGTGCCGCTGGATTCTGGCCCGCCTGAGTGGTCTTTGAGGGCAACCCCACGTAGGGCATGTTGCAGTAGTCAAGCTGCGAGGTGCACGAGTGAAGGCGCTCTCTCCCCTGCCTAGGAGAAGAGCTGCAGATGGAGTCGTGTCTTCCTGGGCACAACTGACCTGTTTTTCAAGCAGGAGCAGCCAGTCCTCCCCCTCCCCCATTACATCCCAGCTTTGAAGGGAGAAGGATTACCCCATCCAAGGTCAAAGATGGAATATCCCCAGATCTGGACCTTCACTCTGGTGCTTCAGCCTGCAGATATTCCATGTTGGGTCTCCTAAGCCCCTTCTCACCACAGCTCAGTCCATTCATTACATGGTCGAAAAAGGTGCAGAGCTTTCAGGACCAGCTGTGGGCTGTGCCTGCCTAGCCTGCTCAATTCAAGAAGACCTGGGCACCCCCTCTCCCTTCCCTGGCACCTGCTCCTTATGAAGCAGTCCAGGCTCCAAATGGATGCCAGGCGGAAGCTTAGAAGCTGGTCTTGGGTCCTTCCTCCTGATACGGCTGACCATAAAAATCAGGCATTTCTTTTCTTGAAGAAAACACAGATTTTCCACTGAAATGTTTAATAAAAATAGGTTTGCATAAATATGTATGTTAAGGGTTCATGCACAAATATTGTGAACATGCCTGTCACAGTAGCAAATCAGCTAACCTTATAAATGTTGAACTCGGCTTCAAAATTAGAAAATATAAAAAGCAGCCAGCCTCAATTAAAAAATGCCAGAGAAGGAGGAGAGTAGTCCAGTCCTGCTGTGACTGCCCATTAATTGTATTTCAGAGCTTAGTATAGTCAGCAGCAAAAGCAGGATAACAATAATATGTGCTTCATGTCAGTTTGCTTAGTTGATTGGTGAGCTGTTTTCAACACAGACAGCTTTGTATTCCAGCCCGTGGCATTCAACATACTGTGAGGAGACAGGCTCACCGCAAACTTGAACCTGATTTCCATGACAAGTATGGCAACCTCGTTCTCATTTCTGGGGTGGCGTTTGCTGTTGGCACTTGGGCTTATGTAAGTATTTGGTAGACTTCAGGGCAGTTTTAAGAACTCTATCCTTCCTTCAGTTGTTGGGTTTGCTTAATTGTGTCAGTTCAAGCACTTGGGCTGAGTCATCAGCTGTGGGTAAATATGTGTGAACAGAATTGCTGCAATGATTATGGTTAATTTCTGATCACTCTTGCAGGCTTGCATCCAGCTTCCAATTGCATGGAATTTCTCTCCAGTTGGTCGACTTACTCCAAAAGAATGGAGAGAAGACTAGGAGTGACTTCATGACCCTTCTGGGAATAGCGAAGTAATCTGAGCTGTATTTGTGTCACCCTCATCTGGCACTCTTCTGTGCTATGTGTGATATAATAAAAGTATTGAAAATAGATAATTTGGAATCATAATGTTATATATACTCTTGTAATGCAAAATTGGTAGCCAACTAAGTTGGGTTTTTGGCAGGATGTTACGTGTACATGCATTATCATACATGTGTGATGGAATGTGGTTCAGATTCCCAGAGGGGATGGGAGGTCATTCTGGAGGAGCAAGGAACAACTCCATTCAGAGAGTTTATGTGAGAGAAAGAGGGTGAAGACGGCCCTTCCTGAATAGTTCTGAGAGGAAATGCTGGGGGGGGGGGGGCAGCATGCTTTAGTTTTCAAGATTTTTGAGGTAAGAACAATAAAAAAATCTGCTTGGAAAAAACATAGTGTGTCTTTTTTTTTGATTTTGGAAACCTGACATCATTTCCCAAAAGACTGAATGGAAAGCAGACCTAAGAAAAGATTACAAATGCATCTTGATTAGTGCAATTAATTACACAAAAAGTTCACATTATTTGGATTTGCACTATTTGAAGTAATATTTCTATGGAAAATAAGGTAATGGTTTTAGCTTAATGGAAAGACAGTTAAAATTTTAACCATACATTTTTAACAAAATACTGTATTACAGTAAAAAGATAAGTCCATATTCAAAGCATATCTGTTCTCCTATTTTCTCAAAAAAAGCCTCTGCTGGGCCTTCCTCACATGGAACATTTTGCACAAACAATTGCATGTGCTTATCTCAACTGCCCATGTGCACTAACTGACATTTGATTCGAGCATTACCTGGTATCCATTTACAAATAGCACTAAATCAAATTTTGCACTCATTGTGACCTACCTGAACTGCTCAGAACAGAGCAAAAAAAAGGGGAAATATATGGAATAGGGCTAATTGGAAGAATAAAAAAGGGACACTTGGTGGAAGCACGCAGGAAAGGAGGTTGTGGGTGAGGAAAACACACACAAGGCTGAGACGAGATTGAAGCTACCATAATCTAAAGATGAAGCAAGCATAGAAGCAGAAATGACAAAATGCCAGAAATTTGTCTAAAAGATTCCTTTAGGAAAGTAGATTAGAACGAAACAAGTCATGAAAAGAATTCTATGTCCTGTCACATTTCGCAACTGGCTGGTTCACTACAACTCTAAAACCCAATGATACAATTTTCATAGTAAATTAAAATTCAAATTAAGTTAAAGTAAAATTACTGAATATTTCAATGGGAGGGAGGAATAGAAGAGGTCAAATCCCATTGGATGAAGCAGTCACAAAAGTGCCTATATGTCAGTCACGTTAAAACCAGCACTTTGAACGATGCCCGATACTTCTTGGCAACAGTGGAGGGCCTAATGTCCAGTCCTTGCACCACACAGCATTTGGGATCATTAGAGGGAATTCTACGGTTAAGGCATCCAGTGTGAGGCTTGGATGTTCAGAAAAGAAAGACCCTTGACTGCATTTGTAGTAAAAGGCATAACTTTTACTGAAGCCAAGTGGTTACAGCTTAGCAAAGCCAGATCCGAATGTGCCCACGTAAACCCAGTGTTTTTCGCTTCTCCCAGGCCTTCCCCCCCCCCCCGGGTCTTTTTGTAAATGTCCAAAGGAGTTCAAACAAGGTGTTTTGGTAACAGTCCTAAAGTTTGGCACCTCTTTCACATTCTGTTCTCATGCTTCAGTCCTTGGATCTGCCAGGTTCTGTTCCCGGCTGGCACTTCTGGTCCCCCCTCATCCTGTTATTCCCCCCCATATCTCCTTCCTCCTCCCCCCCCTTTTGTGGCAGGATGCCATCGAAGCGAAGCAGGGCTGAAGCGATGTAGTGGCAGACCCGACACCCAGCTAGAAACCAAGAGACAGTGAGTTCTAATCCTGCCTTAGGTAAGAAAGATGGCTGGGTGACCTCGGACCAGCCACTCTCAGTCCAACCTACTCACACTTGTCGTGGGAAAAATAAGAGGAAGGAGTGTTACGTTCACAACCCTGAGTTATTTTTACAAAAGAATAAAGGTGGAATAAAATAATTTGACTTTCCAAATGGTCTTGAAAAGCAGCCCCACAAAACAATTTTTCTTTGCTTACCACTGACTCAAGATCAAGTAGAAGATATTTACATAGGCTTTGACTGTTAAGAAATACTGTGTTCCATAAAGTCAGTAGTCTGGTACCACTTTTTCTAACAAAACAGGCCTTAATATTTAATGCTAAAGTTCCTGTCTTTCAATAAGATATGTGAAAATGCTTCCCTGATTGCTACAAGCTCTGCCATGCGGTCAGGACCCTGGTGAATCTGAGCAACTATATCAGCAAACTGGAGCATCAGTTCTGCTGGAACTTAGATTGGCTTTAGAAAGGGTCCGAAAGCTTGGCAGTGCCATCCTGCCTGTGGACCCAGCTACATTAGTAGTAAATTGGATTTCACTCCTGCAGATTATTTTTTAAATAGTTTGATAATCCCAAACCCCATGAAAACCCCTTGTTTTTAATGTGTTCCCATTGTATTTATGATATAACTTTTGCTACATTTTTGTGTTTGAATTTTGTGAACTGCCCAGTGAGGGAAGTTAGCCCAGAGAAAGAAATATTAAAAAGGGCAGAAAAATATATTTTTCCTCAAAAGGACTTTTTAAAACCAAACCTGGCCCCAAATCTATCTCTCTGCCCCAAGCAAGACTTTAGCCCCATACAAATGCAGATGTAAAACCATCAGAAAGCTGGAGCCAGAGCAATCAAGAAGACAAAGAGAAGATCTGCATACCCCACCCAAACTCTAGGAGTCATTAGCCCCATCACCTGGGAAGCAGGATATAATAGAATTAAACCATAGATATCAAGGCCTAGACAAACACAGGAACAGCCTCAAGGTTCATGCCACAGGAACAGGAAACTATTCCAAACAAGGCTAGAGAGGGTATAAAAAAAACCTACTGCCCATGTGTTCTCTCTCTTTCCTCTCCTTTGCTCCTTCCCGCAAGGACCATCTTTCTGCTTCTTCAATAAACTGTAACCTTCTTCCCAAAGCAGTCTCCATGTTGCCTATTTATTCCCGGCTTGGATGAACCAGGATGAAGACTTACTTCTCACACCAGAATCATGATTGTGTAATGGACAACTATATATATATATTGAAGAAACAAACAGCTGCACCGTAACATCACTGTTATGGTGATGAGGTAGGGGATCTCCCTTGTCTTGCCTCTATAAAAGGACACTTGTCTCTCTAAGCAAGTTGCTTTGGCCGACAACCTGATGAGGCAACCACAGAGCAGAAGCAGCAGCCTCTACCCTGAGCTCATTCCCAAGTTGGGCAGTTTTGATTCTTGTCTTCCTTGGTTTCCATTGTTTTATCTCCCCAAACTCCTCAGAACAATTGGGATAAAAGCTATCTTGATGAGGGCCCAGGTGCTTCGGATATTAGATGGCAAGCAGCGCAGATGGTTCCCCTGCCTTTGGGTTCCTCAAGAGCCTGGGGTAGGTTCTGTGAGTGTATGGAAATGTTGGATTCCCTCATTCTATTTTGCATTATGGCATGCCAAAGCCGCAATTCTCAATCCCAGTCTTTAAGATATGTAGACTTCAAGTCTCAGAATTATGGAAGTTTAAGTCTAAACGTCTTAAAAGATGCAAAGTTTGAGACACTCTGATCTACAGTATGATTTTTATTATGTTTTTTGTGCAGTTAGCCAGATTTTTAGACTGGATTTAGTTTTATCCACCTATGACAGCGGTTCTCAACCTGTGGGTCATGACACCATTTGGGGTCGAACGACCATTTCACGGGGGTCGCCAAACAATGCAGTCCGCCATTTTCCCCCTTTTCCTTAGCTGTGCTACTCCCTTTTATTCTATTGGCTTTTGAAAGCCAATAGAATAGACTCTCTTGAACAGAGTCTAATTCTATTGGCTTTCAAAAGCCAATAGGAATTGTCCAGGCTGTCTTTGCCCTGCTGAGCCCGCCAAAAGTCCCATTCTGCAAACGGTGCTGCAAGTTGTCTGCAGTGAAGACGAGCTGTCTGGAAGTTTCCACCCTTCCCTGCTGAGCAACTACTAAAAATGTAAGTAAAAGAGGGCCGGAGGTGGGAGGCCGGCGGGCGCAGGGAGGGATCGTGGCGCCCGGCGGGTGCCTTATCTCCCTTGGCCTGGGCCAGCTGGTGGCCCAGCCGGTGGTAGGCCTGCTCCGTCTCTGCCGCTTGCCAGCTACACCTCGGCTGGCGCAGGGGGCGGCACCACGCATGCGCAGCACTCCCGGGCAGGGAAAGTCCTCAACTTACGACCGGTTGGGTAGTCCTCCACTTACAACCAGTTGGGTAGTCATCAACTTACAACCAGTTGGGGGTCGCGGCATTAAAAAGGTTGAGAACCACTGACCTATGAAGTCCTTTCCAAGGAACAAGGATAGATGTTCTGTTAGATGGGTGTTAAAGATACTGTTGCAGGATGTAAGCTGATCCAAGTAAAGCTGCTTTTTACGATTGACTGATGGTGATTTTGTCAATGCTGATGGTGTTCAAGTGCCTTAGTTGTATTGGGATTGCACCCAAGGCATCTATTACTATTGTTGCTATCTTTGCTTTCTTTTGCCACAATTGTTCTGCTTTTATTTGCAGGTCTTTGTATTTTGTTATTTTCTCCAGCTCTTTCTCTTCTATTCTGCTCTCTCCAGCTATTGCAACATCCGCTATCCAGATTTTTTTGTCTTTCTTATTAACAGTTGTTAAGTCTTATGTAGTAAGTGCTTATATGTTTCAATTATAAAGTCCCACAGAATTTTAGCTTCTTCATTCTCTATTACTTTCTCAGTTTTATGTTCCCAACAGTTCTTGCTTGCAGGCAAATGGTATTTCTTGCAGATCTTTCAATGCACCATTGTTGCTACTTTGCCATGCCTTTTTGCTTGTGATTAATCTGTGTGATTTTCTTGCAGCAACTAATCAGATAGTCCACTGTTTCTTCAGCTTTTTTTCAGAGGCAGCATTTGTTGTCTGTTACTGTCTGAGATCAGAAGGCATGTAACACATGGAAGAACTGCAATATCTGGCACGAATAACATCTGGAAGAGTAGAGACATCAGCCTCACAACCTAATGCAGATTAGTTAACACAATTTTTCCAATTGCTACTTATGGCTGTGAAACTTAGGACTCTGAAAAAGGCAGATAGGAGAAGGATGGACACCTTTGAAATCTGGTACAGAGGCAACTATTATGCATCTCATAATAGCAAAAATAACAAAGCAAAAATATCACTTGAAGCCAAGATTGCCTAACAATGGGTGTCATACTTTGGTCATGTCATGAGAGCTGACTCACTTGAAAAGTCAATTATGCTGGGAGTGTCAGCAGAAAAAGGAGAAGGGGCCACCTTAGTCCCCACTGGCTGGACACTGTAACAGATGACACTGGGATGACCATGGTGGATCTCAAGGAGGCAATGCAGGACAGAGGGGCATGGAAACTGCTGATCCATAGAGTGACTTAGGGTCAGGCACGACTCAGTGCCTGACGAGGAAGTCATCTTCTCAATTCTGGCTTGGTATGCATTTGATCTTAAGGCTTGAATACGTGCAGGCAAAACTAATCCCTTTGATGCATTTTTCTTAGGATTCAAATACATATCTTGCAAGACCTCAAGCAACTCTGGCCCCTCTGCCCCCTCAATTTTAGTTTAAAGCCCTTCTGATGAGTCAGTCATTTTCCAAATATATTCTTTCCAGCTCTTGTAAGGTTCACTCCATCCCTTGCCAGTAGACCATCAGATAGGTAATGCAGACCATGGCCTAGGAACCCAAAGTTCTTTTGATGACACCAGCTTTTGAGGCAGTGGTTCATTTCTAAAATCCTTTGCTCCCTCATTGGATGTTGACCTTTCATTGGAAGTGTAGAGCTCCTAATTCTTCAACTTTCTTCCCTTGCTGTTCGTAATCTTGTTAGTTTTTAGATTCGTTGTTGTGTCATCGGTCCCCATGTATAGAAGAAAGGGGTAGTAATCCACAGGGTTATTTTAGTAAGCTTCTCAGTTACATCTTTGATTTGCTCCAGGGAGACAACATGCCTCTCTAGATTGACTAGATTCGGTCTGCAAAGTATAGTTTCTGTTCTCCGAAGAACCGAATCTCCTATCACCAATATTCACCTATTTTTCCCTAGGGACGTCTGGGATGCTATTCTTCCTCTCACAGGAATGTTGGGATGTGTCCCCTTTTCAGAAACTATTGATGACGGCTCTTGGATAGCTGTCTGCACATTTCCTTCCAGCAATTGGGCTCCAGGGGGGCCTCATTGGAGTGGGCTGGGATGGGTAGTAGGGGCTTTGGTCTTCGTTGCTGTTTTCTTCTAAAAGCGACGTGCCGCCACCGGCCTTCCTCTTTCGGGGGCGGCCACGAGGAGGGGGACGGCTGTAGGTTACACCCGCCCTACCCGCAGCCCCCACCCGGCTGGCGTCACGTGACCCAGGCGGCCCGTTCCCCGTCACCTGACTCCCTTCCCCGCCACGTGACACCGCTCCCTTCCGCTTGCCTGGGGCGGCGTGTAGAGCGTAGCAACCGTCGCGCGGAGGGCGTGGCCGCGAGGGAGGGGCGTGGCTGAGCCGGCGGAGCCGCTCGGCAGAGAAGGAGGGGAAAGTCCGGCGGCGGATGGGCCGCGGCTGAGGTAGCGCGCGGTGGCGGCGGCCTGGCGGGGCAGAGGCTCTTCCCGGGCGGCCTCCCGCGGCCGGGGTTGGGGGAAGGCGAGCGGGGCTCCTGCGCGGGGAAGAGCCTCGCTTCTTGCGGGAACTTTGGTGGGGTCTTCAGTCCGACGGGCCGTAAGGGGGGAGGGAGCCCTGTCGGGTGGGGCCGGCGGTGCCTCCCTGGCGAGGGAAGAGAGAAGCGCGCCTCTTCCAGAGGAGGGGACGGCAACTCCCAGAATTCCCCAGGCAGGCTGCGGAGTCTGGGCGTTGCAGTCCGCCCGTCTTAAAGCGGTCCGAGTCTCCCGGGCCGGGGGGGGGGGAGGGCCGGGACCTCTGATGTTCAGACTTGTCATCCCAAGTGGCAAATGGTTGGCCGTATTTGGAGGGCGTTTTCAAAGTAGTTGGAGATAAGAAGTCCCCTATTTCACGGGGAAGGAAGAAAATACCTCTGGACTTGCTTGATTATTGCTTTTCTAATCCTGCCCTTTGTACTGGGATCCTTTTGCAGACCATGCCCTGTTCTTCCCGTTGCGGCAGCTTTTTACCTTCCTTGCATTTCCTAAATGCAAACCTTGGCTTGGTTGAATGTTGCTTCCTTCCTTCCGTCCGTGTTTCTTTTTTTAAGACTACATGGATGCAGCAATAGGTAGAAAAGTGCTTTGAAATACATGAAGTATTAAACAATTTTTAAAGCATGCATTTAATTTAGGAAGGCAATCTGCATTCATGTGCAAAGGAAGACCAGGAAACATCTTTTTTCCTTCTTTACACTTGCATGAAGAGAAACTTTGAAGGCACTTTTTACTTCTTTTTTTCGATGTAATATTGCATCATATTTGATAAACCAGGCTCTGCAAAAACAGCATCAGAGGTTATTAAAGTTTATTAGAGGAGCATCTTTTTAATTTTATTTGAGCAAATTTCTAGATTATATTGTCTGTCGCAAAGCAATTTGGTAGATAGGCCTTGCCGTTTTTATTTAAATATGGTACCAGTATATAAGCATTAATGAAATGTAGTCCTACTATGGTAATTAAGTTACAACTGCTTAGCTCAGCTGCTTTTTTCTGTGGGTTTTTTTTGTATCTTTTTATTTTAATTAGAGAAATCTTTTAACCTGCTCTTACATTCTCATCTGCTGTCTCACTTTATGCTCATTTCTTGATGTTCTTTGAATTCAGTCATTTTCCTTTTTATGTTTTTGCTAAAAAGCCAAGCTTGACATGTTAAGCACTGTTAACTGCTTAACAGAGTCCTTCTCCAGAAAAATTTAAAAAATTATCCAGGAAGAAGAGAAATTCTCAGGATGGATCTGGTTGAATTTAATGTGGCTGGGGAATTCTGGAAATTGAAGTTGATCTTAAAGTTGATAAAGCTGAGAAACACTGAACTACTTGGGTATCTCCTCCAATAGCTCCACTCAGTGGACAAAGCAATTCTTCCTTTGGTTCCACCCTTTCACTTTCTTGGAGGGATGCTCCTGTGACTTCTTGACATTGAATTGATGTCAAATCAGTTCATACTGGGAGAGTGCTGCCTGGCTTTGGCCCTGAGGTTATGCTGAGGCTGGGAATCTCAAGGACCCCCTCCCAGAAGGTAGGATCCAGATGGAGATCTAAAATGACTAAATAAATGGCCTTGCTGAGTGAAGAGAGGAGATTGAGGCAGAATGTCCTCTGGGCTTATTATCACTTCCCTGTCAGAAAATTACTTTTGTATTAAAAAAATCCAACCTTTCAAACCTTTGTTTTAAGATAGTTTTACTAATAGAATAGAATAGAATAGAACAGAATAGAACAGAACAACAGAACAGAACAGAATAGAACAGAACAACAGAACAGAACAGAACAGAACTGGAAGGGACCTTGGAGGTGTTCTAGTCCAGCCCCCTGCTCAAGCAGGAGGACCTATACCTATACAATACTATACTTCTGTGATTTGGTTTATTGTGCATTTATTATTCTATTTTAAAGGCTTTCTGTTGTAAATCATCTTAAGTTATAAATTGGATTATAAAAGCTGGAAATAGTGTGGTACAGTTGGAAATTAGGTTAAATACCTCATTTTCTTTACATTTATGGGGAAAGGCAATCAGATGTTGGTTTAGCTGGAAATAAGACTTACCTATGTTTTCCTGTTTTTGTAGAGTATTTCTTACGTGAATCATAAACAAGCAGTAGGATTTGTAATGTAATGCATTTTTACAAAACCTTAGCAAAAAGTTGGAGTGCAAATGCAGATTTGGAATTCAGAATCCTTGAAAGTTGCTACTTTTGAATGTTTTATGCAGTTTTCGTGTATGCAATATTGCAAGGAGGAATACAGCCTGTTTCAGTTGTAGACTCGTGTCGCATCAGAATAGAGCTGGAAGAGACCTGGGAGGTCTTTTGTCCAGCAATCCCCAACCTTTGCAGTTTGGTGGCCTGGCTTGAGGGGGGAGGGGAACTGGGCTGTACCAACAGCAGGCTGGCACTCACACCCGTGATTGCCCACCAGCCCGCCGCTCACACTGAGTTCTGGGGGGTTGGCTATTTTTGCCAGCTTAGTGTCATTTGATGAGTTCTCCTTCTGTTCCCTCATCTAAGTCATGTATGAAGATATTGAAGAGTACTGGACCGAAAACAGAACCACGTGCTACCCCACTGCTTACTTCTCTCCATGTAGATGTAGTACCAATTAAGGACTACTCGTCAGTAGGGTTCTAGTGACGATGCTGTCTGTCTCCCATTTGTCTAGCTTACTAAGAAGTAGGTTGTGGTCTACTTTGTTATGAATGCCTTGCTGAAGCCTAAGCATTCTATGTCCACCAAATTTCGCTGGTCTACTAATTTAGTCACTTTGTCAAAGAATGAAATAAGATTGGTTTGGCATGACGTGTTTTTAACAAACCCATGCTGGCTTCTAGTTATAACTTTGTTTCTAGTTGTACACAGATCTATTTTTTGATTATTTTTTCCAGTATCTTCTCAGGTATTGATGTTAGGCTGATTAGACTAAGATGGCCATTTCGAGCTCATTCTGCTCTCTTCAGTTAGCCGCACCCTTTATGGGATTCGAACCTGGGCAGTTTACATACTAGGCAGTGATTTAACCACCAAGCCACAGGCTCTCCTCCCTCTTTGCCAGCTGAGTCAAGGGAGTATATGCAGACATATACTCAATTAGACATCTGTCTGAAAAACTTCCTGCATATATATATATATTTGTTTTCTGAGGTTTTCGCGGGTGTTTGTATGTAGGTCTTTGGTTGTTCGAGTTTTCTCCCGCGTAAAATTGGAAGTGTCTTGGCGACGTTTCGACGAAGTCCCATTCGTCATTTTCAGGCTGGTGTTTTCAGCTTCGTGCTTCGAGCAGCAATCTAGCTTTTGGGGCCATTTGGGCCCACACCTGGCACCTGAGTTGCATTTTATCTATTTTTATTGTCTTTTTGTACTTAGCTGCCAAGAGTCTTGAGATTGCATCTGCATAGACCTATGAGAAATAAAAGAGCTGCCGTAAACTGGGCATAGAAGGAGCTGTTAATCCAGGAGGACACCCAAGGCAGTCACATTTCAAGAGATGCCTTCAACAAAGGAGAGTGCATTCAAGGACAATGGCCTCGTGCCCTCAGGTAAGGCAGCATTAATATCTCCTAAATCAAAGCACTAATCCCCCCCCCACAAACACATTTTCCATGTTTTTCTAATCCAAGATTGGGAGTGGGAGTTTCCACCATATTCATGGCTAGTAAGGAGACAAGTCTCTCACTTCTTTTTTTTCCTGGATTTTGTTTTTCTGTATGTACTTTTGTATTCATACATGGTAGCAAACGTGTGATTTTGACATATTAATTTTGGGAACCCCTTAAGGAATATTGAATGTTGGGTATAATAGATATTGACTTTTGTTAATATTTGTTCTCCTCCATATTAGCAGAGACAAATGTCTGGGGAGGGACTTCATCTTCCATCTGTCCTTGCAGATGTCCATGGCAAAAATACTGCTGACCCCATTTTAAAAGAAATTAGCATTTTCCCACCTTGGGATTCCTCTTGTTCACCCAAAATTTTACAAAGTATAGCTCAACCCTGTGTTCTCTAATGCTTTCTCTTCCTTGCTTCTACCTGCACATCTTGCTATAACCACAAATGTGTTGGGGATGTAACGTTGAACTTTATATTAACAGGTGTCCATGCGACTCATATCTGACTTGTAGAAAAAATAAATAATAAAAGTCACCACACTTGTGAAGCCACAAAAACTCATTCTCTTGCTCTGAAAAACTATTTTGTCTAATTCTGTTGTGCAACAATACCAAACACACAGCCAAGGGCTGATGTCAGGAGGGCTTTTGCACAATATGGTTGTGCTCACTCCTAGATTGGGAAGTCATTGAAAAAAATTACTCACGTCCAGTGGCCCAGGGGGTGACGGGAGCACCACAATACCCTCATCTGTCACCAGTGCTCTGCAAGCTGCTTTGGTTACCAGTTGGCTTCTGGGTGCAATTCAAGCTGTTGGTTACCACCTGTGAAGCAGCACAGGACCTGCTTATCCAAGGGATCATTTTTCTCATGTGGTTTCTGTCTGCCCAGTAGAATCGGCACGCTCCAGGGCCTGCCAAGGACCTCACCTTTTGGGACCTAAGAAGTCTTCTTTCTCCAGACTTGTCCTTTGGTGACGCAGGTCCCCAGAGATCTGGATGACTTTCACCTGATATCAGGCGTGAAACCTGGCTTTATTCCCAGCCCTGGGATTAGAGGTCCTACCGTGTTTCCCCGAAAGTAAGGCCTACCCCAAAAATAAGACCTAGCTTGATTTTGGGGGCTGGACCTAATAAAAGCCCTACTCCCAAAATAAGCCCTAGTTTTGGGGCGAGGCACACACCTAGAAAATCAAGCAAGGGTGAGAGGTGGAGCGGCCCCACGTGCCCCACCCCAGGCCTCTTTCGCCGGCCCACTTCTGCGGGGTCCCCAATCTTGCATTTTGCAGTCGGACCTTTCCGGAAGGCCACTGCAGCGGAGAGCCAAGCTATGGATTCAATCCGTAGCTCAATTCTGCAAGAACTACTCGGCTGCAGTGGCCTTCTGGAAAGGCTGACTGCAAAATGCAGGCCGGAATGCAGCTGCAGAATGAAGATTTAAAAGATTTACATGGCCACTCATTTAAGCAACTCTGGGCAGTATATAACAACAATAAAACTAATAAGTATAAAAAAATCATAAAACAGTAAACAAAGTGATAAAAACGAAAACCCTGTGTCTTAATCATCATTTTGGGATGCCTCACAGCAAGCTCCAATTGCTAAATTTTCTAGCATGTTGGGTTTGTTTCCTCTGGATAAACACGTTTGTTTTCCTCTTTATTGTTTCTAAGTTTTGAAATGTAATATAAATTTGCACAATCAATTTATAAGTATATTAAATGGGTCAGTGTCCTACTTGTAGGTTTCTGCAGGCATTTATCTGCTGTGCAAGAAAAGATGCTAGAATGTAGGAAATCAGATATTTTGCCTTTTTAAGCTAATCATATCCCTACTGACAATCCAAGGGTTCTCCAGGGTTTTTCCCCGTGTAAAACAGTTGCTTGCCCTGAAAGGGTTCTGCTTAATTTAAAGTTATTCCATCTAGATTATCACTAAGTTACAACCAAATTGGGACTGGAATTTTGGTTGTTGAGCAAAGTGATTGTTAAGCAAGAGTACATGTGACTGCTTTGCTCAGTGACTGCGATCCTGGCTCTCCCAGTTGCAATTGTTAAGTGATCGTGTGGATTTTTAAGGAGGAACATGGAGTACCCTGGTGGGGGAGGCCAGTTGCCTACCGGTCTGCCGTGGGGCCGCTGCAACTTTGGGCAGGGGTCTTAACTCCCTTTGTTCAGCACTCTGATAATTTCAAACAGTTGCTGAACGAACAGTCATAAGACAAGGACTACTTGTATTAAAAATCCAACAAAAATAGTTCTTTCTTATCAATCTAATTATTACTGTTAACATCATTAACAGCACATTGGGTTAACCAAGTGACCTAGAAATTTAGGGTTTTATAACCTTACGTATATTCTTGCTATACTCCTTGAAACCTGAAAATATTATATGCAATATAATTATACACACACACACAAACACGCACATATATACATACAGATGTACATGGGGTGAAATTGGGATAATGTTAAATTTTTGTTGAGTTTTTGGGGTTTTGGTTATTGCACCATAACATTTAGTCCCTTTTTTATCTAGATGAGGTCTTCTTGAAAGTAAGTTGAATATGATTCTAGGATGATAGCAAAACAGGAAGTAAAGCAGAGGGTCTTTGCTGGAATATTATTTGAGCAGGTCTAAATTGAAGAAATTCTGATTTACTCCCTGTGTTATTTAAAGGGCTCAGTTAGATTTGACTCTGTTGTGAAAATTGTGATCACTTTTCTCCAGAGAGTTCTGAAAATATGTGCACGGTCCCTGGTTAAGTTCAGTGAATTATGTATAATTACGTTGTACCTAACATTCCTCAAGTCATGGAAATACTCAAACAATTCTTATAGTTTTATCTCTAGCTTGCCTTTGTTTGTATCAGCTACCCAGGCCTTTTGAACTTTTGAAAAAGGAACCTGGCTCTGTGTAGAGCAAAGTTTCTGAACCTTGGCAACTTTACGGTGTGCTGTCTAGCGCTGGGGAATTCTGGGAGTCAGAGCCCAGGCACCTTAAGGCAAGCGGGATGGGAATGACGTCTACACATATTAAAGCTGCCGAGAGTTTCTCTTGAGTGGAGCTGAAGACAAAAGATCTGGTGCTGCTGTGTCAGTAGTTCTCGATTTATGACTGCAATTGAGCCCCAAATTTCCAGTGCCAAGCGAGACAGTTGATAAGTGAGTTTTGCCCTATCTTACGACCTTTCTTGCCATAGTTGTTAAGTGGGTTGCTGCAGTTGCTAAGTTAGCAACATGGTTGTAAAGTCAATCAGCCTTCCCTATTGACTTTGCTTGTCAGAAGGTAGCAAAAGGGGATCACGCGACCCTGGGACATGGCGACCGTCATGAATGCATACCAGTTAACTAAGCGTCCAGATTTTGATCATGTGAGCACCAGAATGCTGCAATGGTTGTATCAGTCACTTTTTCCAGCACCATTGTAACTTCGACAATCACTAAACGAATAGTTTAGGGGTAGGCAACCCTGGCTCTTTTATGACTCGTGGACTTCAACTCCCAGAATTCCTGAGCCAGCCTGGCTCAGCTTGGAAATCTCTCCCTTTCCTCTCAGCATGGCTGGCTCAGGAATTCTGGGAGTTGAAGTCCACGAGTCATAAAAGAGCCAAGGTTGCCTTCCTCTGGGCTAGGCCTAGGCCTCTTTATGGCTCGTGGACTTCAACTCCCAGAATTCCTGAGCCAGCCTGGCTCAGCTTGGAAACCTCTCCCTTTCCCCTCAGCATGGCTGGCTCAGGAATTCTGGGAGTTGAAGTCCACGAGTCGTAAAAGAGCCAAGGCTGCCTACCCCTGGCCTAAGTCGACTATGCAGCCTCCCTTTTGATAGGCAGTCGGGCCCATCCAAATTATGCTTGTCTAGTCACCTCATGAAAGGAGTTTATTTGCAGAGGCTCCTTATGCAATGTCACTTTTGGGGGCCAAACCTGTGATAATGCTTAATGAGAGGCAGTTCCAGCTGTCCCAGCAGCACCGCTGTGCTCGGGATCCCATGGCAACCAGACCATATCTCCAACTGCCACAGGATCATGATTTACAGTCTTCCCTGCCAGCGTCCCACAAACCTAATCAGTTTTGTGATTAGGTTTGTGGAAGTCAGGGGAGGCCTTGGCTTAATGACCTAATAATGGCAACAGCGACTGCCATCGCTAAGGGGCCGGTCATAGGAGATCAGGCTTGATGACCACATCACTTAAGGACAGGAATTCCTGTCCCAGTTAGTTTCGTTAAGTCAGAACTACCTATACTAGGTTTGTATCTAAATATTTCATTTCAGATACCACCTGCGGCCCACTCTCTGCTTCTTTTCCTCCTAACAAGAATCCTTACTGGCTGGGCCAAAAGAGGGTTCTGATCCGTGCCAGTCCAACAGGTTAGCCCTAACACGTCACTCTCATTGTTTTGAATATAGTGTGCGCAAAAAAAAATCCAGCCAGGGTGCAGTTTAGTTGGACTTTTTTCCCAGTTAGATTTATTTATATGGAAACTTCCTTTGTTAAAGCTTCATTTGCACCTGCTACTTAATTGCCTAGCTAAAATTCTAAATCTGTAATTGCTTTTAAAATGGGCTTAAAACTTTTGGAGTCGTTGTTATGCAATAACATGCAATTCAGTAAACTATAAACAGCAGGTGAAGGGGAAACACTTAAGAAACTTTGTCTTAGAGATATTTGTGCTTAACTAAGAAAAATTAACATTGAAAGACACACAATTATTTAGATCATTATTGAGATGGCTAATCCAGAATAGGAATAACCTTTTTTTCTGCTATCATTTCTGTGTTCTGCTGAACCATGTTGAGAGAGTTTGGGGTATACTACTAATTACCAAGCTAATTTTAGAAACCAGACATAGATTAGTAGGAAAATTGATTTCAGTAATTTTATAATGTGTACTATTAAATATCTAGGTAATATTCAGTCTTTATTTACTGAATCAGAACCATATTTGGGGATTTAGAGAGAACAACTCTTGATGCTCCTGCCTACTTTTTGTTTAGCAAAGGAAAGTTGGAGTATCTTTATCTGCTTCCTAATGGAGCGGAATTAAAAGCCTGCCCCAATATCACATCCACATTTAGTTATGGATCTGATTTTATTCAAACTAGGTTATGTCTGTCAGACCTGCCCAAGACAGTCATTTCAGGAAAGCAGACTCTCAATTCCAGTTGATTGAAGTGAACAGAAGTTTTACTAAAGATGTTGATTGCAGGAAGGTGAGGCGGGAACTGAAATTCCTGCTCACCAGTACAAAGAGCCAAACCCAACATTCCACATCTCACCCCCCAATGTCTGGTCTGTTGCCGCCCAATCCAGGATCGCCGAGATATTGTGGGAAACTGTGGGTTGTTTAGGCTGCTGGAATTTCATACCAGGGCAAGCGGCCTTGAAGATGCCCAGCATAACCGGTAGGAACAGCTGTGGTCTTCTTCATATGTCAGCTCCCCCTCCCCATTTCCCACCATTAGGCACAATGGTGTGGATTGCCCCATATGCCTCCCCCCCCTCCCCTTTGATGGTAGGACATCAGCAAGGCGCCAGGCCAACGATGGAGATCCTGACAGTGACTTCCACTGTGTTGGTTCCTAAGGTGGTTTGCAGTGAATTATACCCAAACACACCTAGACAGGTATGCACCTCAAGCACACATTATGCTATCTAGAATCCCCAATTATTTGCTTGAACAATAAGCATGGAGTAGGTCTGGCTTCACTTCTGCAGATCACAGGAAGTGTGCTAAGCAAAATGTGGATAAAAATCTTTACACATTCTGGATGATCGAGTACTGTCACTTTGAGAATTAATGTAAACAAGGGTTTAGTCATATAGCGTAATTGCATGTTCCACATTTGTTATTTGGGTCACTCCTCTAAGGGTTTTCCACATACCAGTGAGAATAAACTTGTCAGCCTTGCATCTTATTCTTCTTGCTTCTTTTGAGCAACCTCAGCTATTAGCATTTGTAATGCCTTACTTTTGGAAATAGATGGTGTAATTTACACTCCCCTTGCCACACCCTTTGCTTTGCTTATTTATATATTCATTTAACTTCTGTTCTGCCTCTTTCTGTGCTCCAAGCAGCTCAAGGCAATGAACACCCCCTTTTCCTTCTGTTTTCCAACAGCCCCGTGAGTCAAGCTAGGCAGAGAATTGACGTCTGACCTAATATCTGGTCTCCATTGTTCCTGGGGGTTTTTTTGTAGATGTTCTGTCATTTCAGTGTAAATGGATCTGATTTGTATCTTTCTTTGATTTGTGCCATTATCTTTTTCTTTCTAATTTTCAGGCAGGCAAAAAGATAAAAGAATGGATCCATCCTCAGGGGCCAGATCAATTGTTGTTCGTGTGGAGGGAATGACATGCAGTTCTTGCGTACAGACAATTGAGCAACATGTTGGGAAACTAAATGGAGTTCATGTCATTAAAGTAAGTAATTTTGTTTTTATTACAGACTGGAGGCTGGATGGGATGCAGCAGTGGAGGTCTGCTTTGCATGCAGCTTAGCAGAATAATCTTGACAGGTTTCCACTTTAGATTCAGTATTCTTAAGAGGGGGGTGGGGGAGACGGTGCAATTCAGAGAGCCTGAATTTGGTTATCTTCCATATAATTGGCAATAAATCAATCCATGATACTATAGCTAAAGGCAGAAGAAACAAACTACAATATTTTAAAATGATTACATTTGTGTAATTAGATTACGTGGGAGTTCTAGGCTGTGTTTTGCCTATGGCAAATGGGAAATTTGCTGTTAATTCAATGGGCTTTCCAGTAATGTCCATTTGCCCTTTTAGAAATTGAAGCAGCAGGATATGTTGACAGTCTGCTGAAAAACAAAACAGATTTTAGATATTATAAGAGAGTTTCTGATGTTAGTAAATCTGTGAGGGCTAAAAGTTCAGAGAAAAAGTTCCTCCTACTTGTTGCAATCTTTGTATCTCTGTGGAATCCTGACTTTTGCCAAAGAATCAGGGCCCGTGTCCCCACTTATCGATGCTGCATATTTTACAATAGTGAAGAGGCTAAGAAGAGTAGAGGTGCTTGTTCCACTAGAAGAAGCTCTCAGGATCAGCCTGTTTTAATCACAGCCAGGCATTCCACCCAGCAGAGGAAGAGGGAGAGTCTTTTTCTGCTGCTTGTTCCCTGCAGAACTCAGGTTTGGATGGAGAAATCACTGGTGTGGAAGGAACCTCGGGATGCTAAATGGAAATTTTAGTTCAGCAGCAGTTCAGCAGAGTCTAAACTTAGATTGGGAAAGCCTGTATCCCATTGTACTTCCCTCGTGGAACCTAGCCTAGAGCTTGTATGTGTGCCTCGGCATGTGTTATTCCCTTACAGTATCTATGGCACATAAAATAACATTCATTTAAGTTTCTAAAATAGCTGCAATATTCTGAAATTATCAAATGTCACAAGATGCGAGAGTTTGCCAATGTGTTCTGGGATTTGGCAGAAGATTGAGGCCTTTTTAAAAACATTTTGATTTTGGTGTCCAGAGCTCCTGCGGCACTTTCCTGGTACACCTGTGGTCTCCGGACTAGAGGTCGGAACTGTTGTTCTCTGCTTAAGACTCAAACTGTCATAGCCTCTTTTGGTATGGATTAATGGAAGAAAAGCAGGGTAATAATAAGGTTGTTTTAGGAGGAGTCCTGCAAGGGAAGCTACGCAGGGCTTTGATTATCCACCTCCCTGACCCGATTTCTTTTGCCTTTGGACACTTGGCGTGGGACCCATCCTGAGCTTTCCACCTGAGTGGAACCCTTCACTCAGCTGCCCCAGATTCCAGAATAATCAGTCAAGCTGTTTAGGTTAGCTCCTTTAGTTTCTCCTGCAGGCTTGATCACCATCACCTTTCCATTTTTGCATGTACAGTACATTTCTGACTTGCCATATCATCCAGACAGTGTTTAGTTCTTTATTTCTGGTGTGTTTGTAACTTTTTATTAAAACGTTAACCTATTTTACATTAAACTTATCATTAACGTACTAACTTTAAACTCCATGGCAGTTTGTGTCATGCCTGAAAGAGCAGTAAAGATCCATTTAACTGATGTCCAGGGATATTCCCAGCTAAGTTAGCACCTGCTAGGAGTAGATATGGGTGAATAGAACCCGGGGGGGGGGGAGGGACTTAGTCTACTTGTGGCTATGTAGAGATTCCTGGCTCTCTCTCTCTTTAACTCCATCCCCAGATTCTGCTACTTCCCTTAAAGTTTGCTTTCCTTGTTTTCAATGTGTGTGAAATTTCAAAGCTCATTTTCCTAGTTAAATACTCACCAGTTATATGCCACAGAATACTTTTAAAAATTGAGGAGGGGGATTGTTCTGTTCATCCCAACCTATGACACAGCCCTCCACAAGTCAATGTAGTATTAAATGTAACATGTTCCATATCAGCCACCTATTTTACTTTCTGGGCATGACAGTTGGAGATTAGGCTAATCTTTATCTGTCATTACTGTACTGTATATAGATTGTAATGTATACTTAAGGCACTGTAGAAAGTTCACCTGAGAAATGTATACTGTATTATTGTGTGAGAGATTTCTGAAATCGTTTTCCTGCTTTTATTGTAGTTCACCCTGTAGCTAGTCGTCTTGTCTTACAAATAAATCCGAGTTAATTTATGGTTTCATAGGTACCGCCTTACACTTCCTTCTCAGGTGAGTGAAATTGCCATTCAGGGTGTCAGTGCAATAAGCCAAAGCTGCTTGACATGTTAATGCCAGTTTAAGACGATCTTAATCTTGCTTAGCTCAGTTGCCTTTTCTCTTTCTCTGCAAGGTTTCTCTGGATGATAAGAATGCCACCATTATTTACAACCCCAAAGAGCAAATCCCAGAGTCGCTCCAGGAAGCCATTGAAGACGTGGGCTTTGATGCTGTTCTTGACGAGGCTAACTCACAGTTCGTTCCGCATGACACCACTTTTCTTACAGTTCCCACCCAGGCAGCTCTAACCTGTGAACAGATTCGTATCGACCTCCTAAAGATCAAAGGCATCCTGGATGTGAAAATCTCTTCTGACAAAACAACTCTAGTTGTAACATTTATTTCTTCTATTCTAAATAGCAAGCAGATTAATCAAATAGTACCAGGATTAATTTTGGATAATGTAATACAAGATAAGAGTCAAGGAACGTGTGAAGATGTAAATTTAAACCAAATAAGTGATGTGGTGCTAAGAATGAAAATAGAGGGAATGACCTGCCATTCCTGTACTAGCACCATTGAAGGAAAAATTGGCAAATTGCAAGGGGTCAAGCGAATTAAAGGTAATTAAAAATAGAGCACTTTTACAGCTTTTGTCCTTTTAAACCATTTTCATCAATTCTCCAGTATAACCTAAATATGCAAGTTAACTTCCAAGAGGTACAAAATATGGATGACAGTTCTGTTTATGGAGAAATTTACCTGTAGGTCCCTCATAAAGCCACCATTCAAAAAGTACAGTATTTCTAAAAGGTAACATCCAACCTTTTGTATTCTAAAACAGAACTGAGAAACAGAACCTATGCTGAAAACATACAGATTTGAAATAACCCCCCCTCCTCATTCTACTAAATCACTAGGAATAGGGAGAACTGGATGGTGGTTCTTTCAAAACTGGAAAAAGTTTTTCTAGTAGGCAGAGACTCATCCAGCCTTCCTAGCATGATGTAACTGCTGCAGATCCTGGCACTTCCACTCCAAAAGCTAAATTCCACCTCTTTCCTCTGTGATTTATTTCTGTTGCCTGCTGTCACAGCAGTGCTATAGTCTGCAAGTTCCTCCAGACTCTTCGAGCTGAACAAATGGATGCTTTCCAGGTAAAGCTGCGCAAAATGCTCCATTACTGAATAGTCTAACCCCAAAACGGCCTGTGTCAAGTACTCTGGAAGTTACCTGTTTGAAAGGCGTTTCAGAACACTCACCGCTACTTCTGGACTGCTTGGGAGTATCAGCATGCAAACTGTTCCAGCTGGTTTTAGGTGGCCCATACCTGAGCTGCTATCGAGCTTTTTCAATCATGTTCAGAATGAAATAGCTGTTGAGCTTTTTTCCAGGCAGGGAATGAACAAGTGTAGCAAAGGCCTCTAAGACATTAATTCTCAACTCTAGCAACTTTAAGATGTGAGGACTTCAATTCCAGAATTCCTCAGCTCGCCATTCTGGCTGGAAAATTCTGTGAATTGAAGTCCCCACGTCTTAGAGTTACCAAGGTTAAGAAGCCCTGCCCAGGGATGTCAGTAATGGATATCAGAGGGAGGAGCAGAGGAGGATCAGAAAGACTGGAAAGGAAGACCAAAGGGCTGGCTGCTTGGTGGGGCATGCTGAGAGCTGCGGAGGGGAGAGAGGAACAGACTGCACATTTTTTCTCCTTGTGGGCCCACCTCTACTCGGGACCACCCACTCCCAGAAAACAGCAGTCTCTGGGCTATGCTTTGAGTACCCTGATTTCCAGCGCCTCGAGTGGACTAGACCATTAACCTACAGAAAATCTTTTCATGGAAAAATACTGTATGGAATATCAAAAGAGAATCACGCAAACCCTTTTTCATTTGTCTTCTAGTTTCTCTGGATAATCGGGAAGCCACAGTCACCTATCAGCCTCACATCATTACATCCGAAGAAATAAAGAAGCAAATAGAAGCGGCAGGGTTCATCGCCTCCATAAAGAAAATGGCTAAACCCCTCCCCTTCGGTTCTATTGACATAGAGCGGCTCAAGAATAGCCGGAGCAAAGGCTCGGAAGGGACACCACAGGACAATTCAGAAGACAAGCTGAATGTGAAGACCGTCACCTTCCGGGTGGACGGCATGCATTGTAATTCGTGTGTGTTCAATATTCAGAGTAGCCTATTGGCACTTCCTTCGGTGACCAGCATCACGGTGTCTTTGCAAGAGAAGTCGGCCACTGTCCAGTATAACCCCAGCCTCATCAGTGTCGGTGCGCTCAGAAGAGCAATTGAAGTTGTCTCCCCGGGAACCTTCAAGGTCTGTGTTTTGGACGCACACGAAAATGGCGAGTGTCTGAACAACTCCAAATCTCCCTTGAAGCCTTCTTTTCCAGGAGCTCTTCACAGCATCGGGCCTCGTCCCCTGACGCTGGTGACCATCATCCGTATAGAAGGAATGACTTGCAATTCGTGCGTGCAGTCAATTGAGGGACTCATTTCACAAAAACCTGGTGTGAAGTCAGTCTGTGTGTCGTTGCGGGATCATAATGGGACAATTGAATATGACCCAACACTGACTTCTCCAGCCGATTTAAAAAACTCCATTGAAGACATGGGCTTTGATGCTTCCCTAGCTGGTAAGTTATTCCTTAGATTCCAGGTAGTCTTGAGAAGACAACCACAGCCATTTCTTTAGGAGAAAGATTTCTTGGAGGGGAGGCATTATGGGGACAATATGGCAGTTTCCTTCACAGGACTGGCTTAAGTGGGCGGCAGTGCCGGGCTGCTCCCCCCCCCCCAATCCTTCAGGTCAGTCAGTCCACCCAGAAGCTCATCTAACCAAGGGCAGGATCAGGCCAGGAAGGACGGTAATCCTTGTGCCTACTGCCAATAGCTTAGCTTAGTTCGCTTTTGCTTTGCTTTTTGCTTTTTCCTTGTTTCATTTGGTGTAGTTTGTTTCACAACTTTTGTTGCAATCGCCTTGCAGGAGAAATGCTAGAGAGGGCCCTACAACATAGTGTTGTCCTGACTCCGCCCATTTAACCTGAATTTTCCATAAAACAGATGAAAGATCAACATGGCACGTTACAACTTTCTGAGTAGCAAGTGGCTGTTTCTTTTCTTTCCTGAGCAGCCAATTTGTCATCTTGTTCCTCTGTAGGGAAATCACTCTTGGTGCCGTTGGGGGAGGCGGGATAGGAGAGGCGCAGGGTCAGGCACAGGATCCTTCTGGTTGTGCTGTCCTCTTGTCCAGAAAATGACTTGGATCCCCATGACTTGCTCTGCTCTGCGTGCCGTGCCTTACGATTATAGGTGGGGAATGGTGATTGGTAACCTCCTTTCAGCTATCTTAGAGCCCCTGGTCATACTAGATTTTTTGGGGGAAAATACAGAAATTCTCTGTATTTCAGTATCTTCTGACAAAACTCACGGGAAACAAAAGGAACGTAGGCGCAAGTCCAGTTTCCTTGCTGTTGGCAGTTTTCTTTTGAACCCAGGCAAAACCTAACCTTCCCAGGCAGCATTTGCCTGGAGCTTTTTCATTCTACGGGCCGCACTTAAGGCAGTAGCAAGGGGCCCTGGGTAGAGATGTGCATCTTTTGGGCTCATGGGACACGTTTGGAGTTTGGGGAGATTCCTGAGACAAATCAATGTGGTGTTGCAAAAAAAATAAATAAATCATGGCTTAAGACTGGTGAGTCCCAGATTGAACTCCTCCTGTGCCAAGGAACCTTCCTGGCTGATTTCTGCTAGTCTAGTTGCGCTCTCTCGCTCCAACCTGCCTAACTGGGTTGGTGCTTTGGGAGAAAATTGGAGAAAGGAGGGCTGTGGGAGAGGCCTTGAGTTTCTGGAGGAAAGGCAGCAGGGCACCTAACTGATAAATATAAAGGACTCTTTCACAACATGACAACATGACAACTGGCTGGCCAGTTTCAAGTCACCCGGTGCTTTCTTTCCTAATCCTGCAGGGTGCCCGTTTATGAGGTACCCAGCCGCACCCCTGGAAAGAAAGTAGGAGCATATCCGTTGCATTGTTTATTTCTACCTACTCTATTAAGATGGGGCACAATGACCCAGTGGTTAAAGAAGCTGAGCTTGTCAGCTGGAGAGCGGACAGCCCAGATTCGAGACCTCAGCTCTCTGTAAAGAGGGGAGTTCCCATTACTTGCCCCGGCTTCTGCCAGCCAGCCTAGCAGTTTGAAAGCTGGCAAATGCAAGTAGATTAATAGGCACCACTTTGATGGGAAGGTAACAGCATTCTGTGCATCTTTGGTGTCTAGCCATCCTGGCCACATGACCATAGAAATTGTCTTGGGACAATGCTGGCTCCCTCGGCCAAGAGTCGGACACGACTGATGGGAAAACCTTTATCTTTCCTGTATTAAGAAGGGCACGAAGGCTCAGCGGTCAAAGACACCGTGGTTGTCACCTGGAAAGCCGAGAGCCCCGGTTCGAGACCCAAGCTCTGCACTATGGAGTGAGCTCCCATCCTTGCTCCTGCCCAGTTCAAAAGCATGCAGATGCGAGTAAATAAATAGGTGCCACTTTGGTGGGACTGTAACAGCGTTCCAAGTGCCCTGGGTTATAGTCAAGCTGGCCACGTGACCATGGAAATGTCTTTGGATAACACTGCCTCCCTCGGGACAGGGGCAGTCTGTATCTACTGTGTGAGTTTTACTTTTTAATTGAAAGAAAAATTCCTTAAAAACTAAAGTCAGGTGAGGCAGGGAGCTTAAGCATCCAGAAAGATCAGCATATCTACTCCCGTCGTGAGACTGTAGTTTGAAGAGCTGGAACAGCGTTTTCTGATGTTCGTTTTCTGCCGCCAGTACCGCCGAGCCCAGAGCCCGTGGTGCTGATCACTGAGCCTTCCCAGGAGAGGCTGGCTAAAACTCAAGAAAGCAAAGCGCCCAAAACAGTCGCCCATCCCAGCCTGTGGCCAGTTCCCAACAGACCGGGCCCGAAGGCACCGTCAAAATGCTACATTCAGATCACTGGCATGACCTGCGCTTCCTGCGTGGCAAACATTGAGAGGAATCTGAAGAGAGAAGATGGTAAGAAACCCTCCCCTAAGGCTGATCAATATTTGCTGTCACAGATGCAGCAATTTATGACTCGGGTAAAGGCAGAAGGAGGGCTAGTCTGAGTTGAGCTCCTGCCCAAGGATGAGGCCAGGGCCCCTGTGGTGCAAGGAGAGGAAGTGTCACGCCCCCCCTCCATCCCCCCCCCCAGGCAGCTTTTAACATTTGGTCTTTGAGTGAGGAATCTTATCTGATTCACTTGGACCATAAGTCACCCTTTTTTTCCTGAAGGTTGTCATGGAATGTTCGGAATTTACACTGCTAGAGTTTTTCCAAATTTTGTTTTCCATATTTGTGGAGAATAAAAGGGATCACTTGTAAAAGGAACCCCACAAATCAAGGTGTTGGGGAGCAACAGCACCACATCACACCCTGGTCCTGGGCCATGAGATGTCTTAAGAAAATCAAGTTTTACACTGACGAAAACAGCAGTGTGGTGTGTTTACTCAGGACACTTGATTGTACAGCATACTGATTATTTTTTCAGTGTTTTCCCCATGCCATCACTCTGCTAAACAACTAATTCCTACAAAACTATTCAAACCACTTAGTAAAGCTCCTCATCTTTCCTATTACCTATTTCCTTATCTTCTTATAACTATAACTCGGTGGCTTGTATCTTATGATTTATATTGTTTTATTTAGTATCCTAGTATGATGTATGTTGTTTGCTTATTTAGTATCCTATTACTATCATTAAGTGTTGCATCTTATGATTTATGATGAATGTATTTTTATGTTGACTATGATCATGATTTATTACTGTTGCTTATATGTAAACTGATAATAAACGTGATTTATTACTGTTGCTTATATGTAAACTGAGAATTTACGCACTGGAGACAAATTCCGTATGTGTCCAACCCCCACTTGACCAATAAAGAATTCTATTCTATTCTATTCTATTCTATTCTATTCTATTCTATTCTATTCTATTCCCTGTTTCTAGGAATATGCTCTGTGCTCGTTGCCCTGATGGCCGGGAAGGCTGAAGTGAGATACGACCCTTCCGTCATCCAGCCCCCGACTGTAGCAGAGAGGATTAGAGAACTGGGGTTTGGTGCTCTGGTGCTGGAGGATTATGATGAAGGCGATGGCATCTTGGAGCTGGTTGTAAGAAGATTGTTTCAGTATCAACACATGTGCAGTTTTTATACCACGTATGAAAAGGATGGAAGCACTTGAGTAGCTGCAGCATAGGAGGGCTTCTTTAAAACGTGGAAGTCCTGCTGTTTGTTATGTCTAAGTGAGACCATATTGAAGTGGTAGAACCAGCCCTCCAACTCCACTTTTACTTCTTGTTCCTCTTTAGGAAATCTTTTCCTATCTAAACATGTTTAGGTGGAAATGTCCTTGAATATAGTGGTCTTTCCCTCTCAAAATTATAACAAAAAACCATTTCATTTTGCTGTCATATCTATTTTTGCCTGGATACCAAAAAGTTTGGGCATGTTTCTGTTGCTGTTTCCAAGTTTCTAGCCTTAGTGGGAGATCTTTTCTTCTTTCCTCCAACAGAAGTGTGTTTCTGTATACCGTATATTCCGGAGTATAAGACGACTTTCTAAACACTTAAAATCTTTGCAAAAGTGGGGGGTCGTCTTATACGCCGGAAAAATATTACTCAGCAAGTTTTCTCTTCTCCCCCCCCTCTCTCTCACTCAAAAAGAGTCCTAGGGTTATTATTAAAACCAGCCGATCAACTAAAGATATCTCTGAGAGTACGATAGGCATTATCTGGCTGTTGTGACGGTAAGATTTCCTGGAGGTTTAATCCCCATTCTATAATGCTACATTGCAAACCGTCTCCTCTCTTCTTCCCTCCCTTTTGCATCCCAATTCCTTGCCCACCCCTCCAGAACTGCGGATTGGTAGTGGCCATCCCCTGATTAATTCATTCAAAGGAAGTAGAAAGGAATGGCCCATGTAATGGGGAAGGGGGGAAAAGAATTGTAAGGTGTTTTTTTATATATAATGAAAACAAACCTAAGCATCTGCGTCCATTCGAGGCACTTCTCAGTGCTTCTTCATGCAAGCTTTTCAGCGTTTACCTCTCACTGCCGGTGAGAGTAGCTTGGGGGAGGCGGAGCTTATGGGTCTGGAAGGGGAGGGGTGTCAGCTAAATTCCTCTCGGATTCATGAAGCAGGAATGGAGTGGGAACAGAAAACAGCTACACAATCCTTTTGCCTGTCGACTTCCACCGAGCTTATGCAAGCAGTTTCTCCCCCCCCCTAAATAAACTTGCATGGTGCATTTGTGATGTTATTTATGACAGATCCTGGCTGGTCAATCTGGCTCCCATCTATAAGTACTGTAGTGCACTGAGTTTTAATAACAAATTAAAAGGAAAGCATTTACTCCCCCCCCCCCATTACCTGAAAAGGGGGCAACTTATCACATTTATGGAAATGCAAGTTTTCGAAGGGCGAATGCCTTTCTTACTTAGCTTATTAACTGCTTCCTTTCCTTCTTCCCTAAACATTCTGGCTGTCTCCAATTTCATTCTTGGTAGTGTTGCTTTAAAAAACTGCTGAGAAGTCCTTTTGCAGGCAGGGCAATTTTCATCAAGGTGTGTGTGCGATTGACAAGGCAGAGCCTTTGACAAACAGGCAGGCTTTCTGCTCACTCAGCTTGGAGGGTGGAAGACTGAATGGAGGAGATCCCTGCGTGCAGCCTGCTTGCTCCAAGCCAAAGCTTGCTACTGGGGGGAGAGCAATGGAAGGGACCCAGGGAGTCACACGCATGCCTACACGTGCACGCACACACCCTGAGCTACTCATTTGGACTTACAGGTGGCCAATGAGAACTCAGAAACTGTGCTCCCTTTCCCCCTCCCTCATGGAATTAGCTTGTCCATTTTTTCCCTAGGGCCTATACAGGAGTAGGCAACCTTGGCTCTTTTATGACTCATGGACTTCAACTCCCAGAATTCCTGAGCCAGCATAGCTGGCTCAGGAATTCTGGAAGTTGAAGTCCATGAGTCATAAAAGAGCCAAGGTTGCCTACCCCTGGCCTATAAGATGACAGGAAGGGTTGGGCAGGCAGGGAGAGCTGATCCACCCAATCCAAGCAGGCTTTGTATACAACAACCAGCCAAGGTTCATCACTTGCTGTGATTGGCTGGTTGTTGTATACTGGGTACATACAGTACAGCACCAGTATCTGTACCAGTTCATACAGTACAGCACCAATACATACAGTACAGTATACAAATGTCCAATAGTCAAGACCCCATCATGGCTCCACCAGCAAGAAGAAAGAAATATGAAGCCAGTTTCAAACTTAAAGTTGTAAACTTTGCCATGGAACATAATAACTGCGCTGCTGCAAGACAATATGGAGTTTTTCTGCTAAGTACCTTTATGTCATAAGCATTTGAATTAAAATTACCATATTGAAATCAAATCTGATGTTTTTTAATTTTTATTTGGTGTGCGTTGAAAGAGGGGTAGTCTTATACGGCGAGTATAGCCCAAACTCTATATTTTAACTGGAAAAGTTGGGGGTCGTCTTATACGCCCAGTCGTCTTATACGCCGGAATATACGGTACTTGCTTTTTTCTTAGTGTCCATGTCAGTTTTTCCCCTGTTGGTCAGGAAGGCAAAGAGTGCACTTTGCAGGGTAGGGTAGGGCTGTATGCAGACTGGGAAACACAACTGCTAACTGAGAGAACGGGTGGGTGTTGAAATGCAGAGAAAAAAGCTGACTGTCTCAACTCCCCTAGAGTTTTACTCTTCAGTGGATGGTTAAAATTCTTAATCATAACTATTTATCTGTGTCTAGTTTCCATTCTGCAGGGGGAAAAGGAGTGATTTGTTCGTTTGTTTTGCTTGTTTCCCACCTTTATAATTTTTTTACAAACAATTCAAGGCAGCGAACATATCCAACATACTTTCCTCCTCCTATTGTCCCCACAACAGGTGAGTTAGACTGAGAGAGTGTGACTGGCCCAGGTCACCCAGGTGGCTTCCGTGGCTAAGGCTGGACTCACAGTCTCCTGGTTTCTCACCTGGTGCCTTAACCACCACGCCAACCGACTCTATTTACCAGTTTGAAGAGCGGAACTATTACAGAAGCAGAACAAGAGTAGTGATGAGCTAGGAGAAATCTTAGGTTAGGTTTTTTTTAGGGAATTCTATCACCTTTCATCACAGTTTCCTCTGATTCATTATTTATGAATCAGGCAGGTAAAATTACTCCTTAAAAGACAATATTCTACAAACAAAGGCTTTTCTCTCACAGGTAAGAGGGATGACTTGTGCCTCGTGTGTCCATAAAATAGAATCCACCCTTATGAAAACGAAAGGGGTTCTGTACAGCTCGGTGGCTCTTGCAACCAACAAAGCACACGTCAAGTATGATCCGGAGATGGTTGGCCCTCGAGATATTATACAGATTATTCAGGTAAGTATTTTTGTCAGTACAGTTTTGCTGTTTGCAAGCTTGCTGTATTTCGTTTTATTTACTAGATTTATTTTTTCCATAAAAGTCATTGTAACTAAGTAGAGGAGAACGCATTGAAAAAGATACTGCATATGGAAGCTGGTTTGAAGTTAGAATTTTGTGATCCCACTTTGTAGATATAATAACATGCTTAGGACAGAAACTTAGGTTCTCCCGGTTTGGTTTATGTTCTTATTCTCCCAACTCCCGTTATATTTTCTTATTTCTCATGTCTGTTTATTTACACTATAAGCTGTTGCTAGGGTTCTATCGTTGTTAATTTTATACCCTTCATTCTAAAGCACCCTGTTTTGGGGCAGTGGTTGTTGTTAAATAATATGCAGAAATGTCTAAACTTATAAAACACTCTGACGAAGAGTCAGTCTCCCTTTGCTGGTAGTATATATGTCTTCCTGATTTTAGCTAAGATCTGTGTGGAAATGTGCATATTCACATTATGTCTCTTTCTAGAATCTAGGATTTAATGCTACATTGGTAAAGAAAGACCGATCTGCTAGCCACTTAGACCACAAGCAGGAAATTAGACAGTAAGTCCCTTTTTGTGTTTATTTATAGCTTTGCACGTTTCTTGGAACATGATTTTTTCCCCATGACAGTATACTATATACTGTCTTTTGAAGTTTTACCTAACTTCTTGTTATGGTTTATTCTAATATTATCTTGTCCGCTTATTATTTAGGTGGAAACGGTCCTTTCTTGTAAGCCTCATTTTCTGCATCCCTGTAATGGGGCTCATGATTTACATGATGGTGATGGACAGCCGCATGTCGGCCATGTACCAGGCTTCTAACCTGACTCAAGAAGAAATAGAAGCTCATCACCCATCAATGTTTCTGGAGCAGCAAATTCTTCCCGGGGTGTCAGTTATGAATTTGCTCTCCTTTTTATTGTGTGTTCCTGTTCAGGCAAGTAGAAAGATATGTCGGTCATTCATATGGTAGGACATAAATGTCATGCCCAAATTCCTTTAAGGGCTAATTGCAATACTTAATCTTGAAACACTGACTAGTCTCTTTGGGAGAGCAAGAGTGCCTGTAGAGCTTAGGTGGAGCACCTGGTTATGTGGATTGTGACTAGAAAGTACAAAATGCCCAGTAGGCGTTGGCCTTTAAAGTTCACATTTGACCACACTCTTCCACTGCGCCCACCAAAAAACTAATCCAGGGGTAAACTTTATTTATTAAAATAGTTTTCCTTTTCTACTCTTTGAAAGAAAGCCAAAAGTAATTTTTTTTATCATGGCATTTCAAGCATCTCTGTCAAAGTTTTTGTTTTTTTCAGTATCATTTTCCCTTGATATATAGTGGGAGACTTTGCTTCCTGGTGAAAAACTCCTAGAACTCCTAAACAAAATACATTTCACAGTTATTCTGAATTTTCTTCCTAAACCGAACATTTGGGGGTGGGGGGTGGGGGGTAAAGGAAAGGACAGAAGAAGCAAGGAGAAGATGGGAAATAACGGCAGCCGCACAAGAAGAGCTTCCCCTAGATCTCCCGGCTTGCTCTGTCATCTGCCTCTTGGGAATCTGCCGCCAAGCCCAGGGCAGGCTGGAGGTATCATCTTGAGATGCCCAGGCTCAAGACTCGCAAAGAGGGAAGAAGCATCTGTGCATTTTCTCCTGAAATTTGACAATGAACGATCATTTTGCTACCTGATTTCTCTGTTTCAGTGTAAATGTCCTGCTGATATTTGCTCTTCTTACAGTTCTTTGGAGGCTGGTACTTCTACATTCAAGCCTACAAAGCACTGAAGCACAAAACAGCCAATATGGACGTGCTGATTGTTCTAGCCACGACCATCGCCTTCGTCTACTCCTGTGCCGTTCTTCTGGTTGCAATGGCTGAGCGGGCAACGGCCAATCCAGTGACTTTCTTTGACACCCCTCCCATGCTCTTTGTGTTCATTGCGCTGGGGCGCTGGCTGGAGCACGTGGCTAAGGTCAGGGGAGAAGGGCTCTTCCTCCTCCGGGTCAGAGGGGCGGGCGGAGGGAGGCCGTGGAAACACTTTCACGTTAGCTGCCGTGTTCCGTGTTTACCTGCGTTTAACTCCGATCTGGGTGTTATTAAAAAACATGTTTCAATGAAAGGGAATGCATATAACAATATGGTAGTAGGCGCACGCGCACACACGCACACACACATGAACATCACACAAATGCTGGCTGCATCCCTCTCCTGCACCCTTTCTGCCTGGGAGGGAGTTCAGGGGCATCTGTGTGCATTCGAGGGACCCCCCCCCCCCGGCGCTTCCTCAAGAAGGATGTGGAGGAAAGGAGAGCGGCAGGGAGGGGAGGGGAGGGCTCCGGCCATCGCACGGGGTGCCACCTTCCAGGGACTTTAGTCCTCACATTTACTCAAGCTGGAGGCTAATGAATTTTTTTTTAATCTACCAGTAACTGGCATTGTAAACAGTTACTAAGCAAATGTATTTCGAATAAATGTCACACTCCTAAAAACAGATGCCAAATGAAAGAAAAGGTTATGTTTTCCTTGGAACTTACTTAGATTTTCTCTTTCCTTGCTAGCTTGTGAGGAAAGTCTCTCGGCTAAAGACTTCTTGTTTAACCCGTGATTTTGATGCTTGCAGTGAATTTCTTTGGTGCCTTGTATGTAAACACTTTTTAATCTTTTTAGGGTAAAACATCAGAGGCCCTTGCGAAGCTAATTTCACTACAAGCAACAGAAGCAACTATTGTTACTTTAGGTCCAGATAATATCCTCATGAGGTATTTCCAGTTCTGTGATGGTTTTTTAATGAAATGTTTATATGCTACAGTGGTTCGTCCCCTGTAATTACCTTGTAGTCTTTGTTTCTGTCTTGCACATTGAAGGTAACATTCTGCCTATGAAGCTCAGTGTAAATTATAAATGTTTGTAAATGAGACAAGAGTAGCAACGCAACATGAATTTGCATATAAACTCCCCAAAACATATTTTCAGCTGGGGATGTCTTTACATTACTGTAGTCTCCTGCAGATGAAGAAGACTTTGAACAGGAATTTAAGAGAAAAGGGCATTTTGTTGTGCAGGATTTAACAATCGGAAATGCTACATCACTTCCATTGCTAAGTTTGAATGTTCTGACTTCTCTGCAGTGAGGAGCAAGTTGATGTTGAACTAGTTCAGCGGGGTGACATTGTGAAGGTGGTCCCAGGTGGCAAGTTTCCCGTGGATGGCCGAGTGATTGAAGGACACTCTATGGTAGACGAATCGCTCATCACAGGCAAGCTGGAGGGGGTTTTCATGGGCCCTGGACTCTGGGCTGGGGAGAGGGAAATTGTCAAAGAGTACCCTCCGTTTTTTTTAATTTCTGATATACATAGGTGAAGCAATGCCTGTGACCAAAAAACCCGGCAGTTCAGTCATAGCAGGTTCAATTAATCAAAATGGATCCCTGTTGATCTCTGCAACCCATGTTGGGTCTGACACTACCCTCTGCCAGATTGTAAAGCTTGTGGAAGAAGCTCAGACATCAAAGGTATTTAGACTAATACGTTTAGGTTTTGCTCCTGTCGATGGCCATGATTCAAGACAGCAAGTTGATAACTTAAAGTCTGCAGAATTCTGCCTCCCCTTTTTCTTGGCCCTGCCAATAATTATAGCATCAGCAAAGTATAAGTTAAATATCTTTCTCACTAAAAATCATAACTAATCAAGATATCAGTTATGCACATGTATATTATTTATTACAAATCTGCAGGCTAAAAGCCAAACCAGCTCAGCTTCAAAAAAGAATTAATGTTGACTTAATGTTGCTTCTTTTTCTCTCCTTCTCTTGCTTTAGGCACCAATTCAGCAGTTTGCTGACAAACTGAGTGGCTATTTTGTTCCTTTCATTGTTGGTGTTTCTGTCATCACACTTCTTGCTTGGATTGTGATTGGCTTTGTCAATTTTCAAGTTGTGGAAACCTATTTTCCTGTAAGTCTCTTTCCTTTGGTTTTTAATTTTTGTGAAGAAATGACCTGCACAAAGTTCCTTCTTAGGCCCAGGACTCTTACAATGTTATGGGTTTCTTCTGAATAGTAAACAACCACTTTTTGCTGATTTAGACAACACACTTCCTAAAATGTCATCGTATAAATCATGGTGGGCCATCTATTGGGGGGGGGGGAGAAGGTGGTCAAAAATGTCAATATGGTGCCAACAACTATGTAATTGATGCCCCACATTGTAAGGACCCGCTTCAAAACCTCATCCCAAGAAAGCAGGACTCTTGGAACACTTCCATTCCAAAAGGAACTTTTCTTAGGAGAAGCTGACAGCAGGCAAAGAAGGCAGGATCTGAGGGGTTCCCGCTCAGATCAATAGGTTAAAAAAGCATCAAGCAAACCCTACCCCAATAGTTTATCCAGTCAGTTCAAACTAGCCAATCCCCAAGTGTTAGGTCCGCTGTGGGAACGGAGCTACCCCAGATTGACATCAAGGGGAAACAGTTCAAAGAGCAAGCGGATAGAAACAGCAAAGAGGATACATTTTAGCAAAGCAAAAGGAGAAATAGTGCGTTCCCTGGAGCCTCCCCCCCTCCCCACAGGAGAATGATAGAACCCACAGAAAGAACCCAAAAGGAACAGAACCAACCCCTTCCCCAACCCCATGCACATGTTTTTTTTTAAAAAGGGGTGGTGCTTTGATCATGAGTCACATCTGTCCTTTTGACATTTTGCCCCCCCCCCCAACGCCTGCAGGAATACATTCTCAAATTGGTTGAAGGCTGATCAACACCCCCAGTATGACTTGTTCTTAAGGGTACTCTTCAATATCTTCATAAATGACTTAGATGAGGGAGTTGAAGGGGAATTCATCAAATTTGCAGATGACACTAAGCTGGCAGGAGTAGCCAACATCCCAAAAGACAAGCTCAGGATCCAAAAACATCTTGACAAACTTGAACAATGGGCCCTGTCCAACAAAATGAGTTTCATTGTGGAGAAAAGCAAAGTTTTACATTTAGGCAGGAAAAATCAAAGGTAAAAGTACAGATTAGGTGAGACCTGGCTCAAAAACAGTAACTGAGGGGGACTTTGGAGTCCTGGTGGATGATCACTTGACCGTGAGCCAGCAGTGTGCAGCAGCAGCCAAAAAAGCTAATACAATCCTGGGTTGTATAAACAGGCATAGAATCAAGATCACATGAAGTATTAGTTTATAATACTTTATAAAACCCTATTAAGACCACACTGGAATACTGCCAATTTTGGTCACCATATCACAAAAAAAGACATTGAGAGTTTAAAAAAAATTCATAGGAGAGCAACTAAAATGATCAAACTTAGACTAAAACATACGAAGAATGGCTGCGGGATTTGAGTTTGGCTGATCTAAAGAAAAGAAGAAATAGGGGAGACATGATAGCAGTATTCCAGTATTTGAAGGGCTGCCACAAGGAAGAGGGGGTAACGTTATTCACCAAAGCTCCAGAGGGAAAGACAAGAAACAATGGTTGGAAACTGATCAAAGAGAGAAGCAACCTGGAATTACCGTAAATGCCGGCGTATAAGACGACTTCCGCGAGCGCTGAAATCGGTGCCAAAGACGGGGGTCATCTTATACACCGAGTCGTCTTATATGCCGGAAATACTGGTAGTTTCCGGCGTATAAGACGACGTTCTAGGAATGCAGCCCGGCTATAAAGACGGGGGTCGTCTTATATGCTGGGTCGCCTAATACGCCGGCATATACGGCAAGAAGAAACTTCCTAACAGTGAGGACAGTTAAGCAGTGGAACAGCTTGCCTCCAGAAATCGTGGGCTGTAAGGACCCACCCCACTTTGCATCTTAAGAAGACAGAACTCTTGGAATAATTCTTCCAACAGGAATCCTTTATTAAGAGAAAATGGTTGCAGGCATGCTAGACAGGACTTGGGGTCCAAGCTCTCCCATTCAAGGTTTTAAGGGGTTCCCCAGTAGTCCCACCCAATCAACCCCCCTTCCCGTGATAGTTTCAAGTATCACAATTCCACCCCGTTTCTTCTTTCTTCCGTCTGGATGGAGACTTCAGATAACTACATGAAAGGCAAATACTCTTCTTTGTTAATGCTAATGGTCTCTGTTGCTAACGCTTTGAGGTTACAATAGGTTACAATAAACACACATTCAGCATTCAGCTCTTTGAAGTCTACTGAAGGAAGTGAGGGCCATAAAGCCCCTTTGTTCTCCCCCTTCTCTCCCTCTTAGGGCAGAATCCAAAGAAGGCAGAATTGGGAGTTTCTATATTTGATAATTAAAGATGAAATATGATTGGATTCTGACATCCGGCCCCTCTTAACAATAAGAGAGATCCACCTGAAAGAAAACACAAGTAAAAAATTTAGTTATGCTTGTTAGGATACTCTGTGTGAAACTTCTTCAATAGCTTCGGGGCTCTGACGTGACGTTTATGGACCCACTCATTTTGTGAGGCAGGGAGGTGTTTCCAGGCAACTAGGTACTGAGTTGTTCCATGATATCTCCTAGAGTCAAGGATCTCTTGTATTTCGAAGTGTTGTTCCCCCTCCACCAGGATTGGAGGTGGTGGGGGGGGGATTTTTGGCCGTAGAGGTGACTGATGCTCTCTTTTCAGCAAGCTGCAATGAAAAATTGGGTGTATTTGCCTGATGTTTTTGGGTAATTCTAATTCTACTGTTACTGGATTTATGATCCTTTTAATTGGAAAAGGTCCTATATATTTTGGTCCAAGTTTTTTACAGGGCTGTATGGACTTTAGGTATTTTGTAGATAAGTACACCATTTCTCCTATAATGAATGGTGTAGGCTCAACCCTTTTTTTATCGGCTTGTGCTTTGTATGCCCGCCTAGCTTCATCTAGTGATTTTCTGCCTATTGGCCAGGTGTTTTGTAGGTTTTCCATCCATTCTTTCAGTGAAGGGATCGTTGGTTCTTTTGGGGTTAACTCTGGCATAGGGTTGAAACTTTGGCCGTTGGCTATTTGAAAAGGAGTGTAGCCTGTGCTGGAGTGGACTGCATTATTGTAGGCAACTTCTGCAAAAGGAAGTAAGTCCGTCCAATCACTCTGTTGGAAATTTAAAAGCATCTCAAATATGCTCAAGTCCGACTGGCACCGTTCCGCTTGAACATCTCCGTGAGGGATGGTGGCTATATTCAATCCCTGAGTGGTCCCCTAAAAGGATAAAATTCCTTCAAATGCGACGTAAATGCACTCCCCTATCAGAAGATGATGCGTTGGGTGTGCCCCGTGCAATCTGTAACAATGGTGCTGGATGAAAGTTTTTTGCTAGAGCCTTTGGCAGTGGAATTTTTTGGCAAGGATAAGTGCACCTGTTTGGAAAATAGGTCCGTTGACTGTCCAGATAAAGTATTCCCATTTGCTTTCGGCAATTCCACTAGTAAAATCCTGGCTATTTCCCTCCAGGGGGCTGATGGACCTTTGCCACTGGTTGCAATAGTCCTGGCAATGTCCCTTGCAACCTCTTTGCTGTGGCACATTTTGGACAACTGGCTATATAACTTTCGATGTCCTTTTTCATGGATGGCCACCAAAATTGCCGTTTAATTAATGTAAAGTTTTTACAAATCCAAAATGCCCTGCTGATTTTGTGTCATGGCAAAGGTGCATGAAAGTTACTCTTTGAGTTGTTGGTATATATAACTTTTCCCCTATCCAAGGCAACCCGTCTTTCATTGTGCACACATTTTTGTTTTTCTGGAACCAATCATCTGTTTCCAAACTTTTTTCTGAATTCAATTCCAGTTTGGCTGTCCAGTTGTTGGTTTTTTGGCTTGTGTTCTTGTGGTTACGGCGCTGCCAGTTTGTGACTCTGCCAGTATTTGGTCTAAGAGTCTGTAGGTTCGTGCGCTGTTATATTGGGGCATGCGAGATAGTGCATCTGCCATGAAGTTCTTTCTTCCTGGTAAATGTTTGAGCTTAAATTGGAATTGGTGAAAATGCTGGGACCAGCGGGCTTGTTTGGGATTGAGTTTCCTGGGAGTTTTCAGGGCTTCTAAATTTTTGTGATCAGGCCATACCTGGAAGGGGATTTTGTTGCCTTCCAGGAACTGTCGCCACGTGAGTAATGCCCAACGTATCCCTAATGCCTCCCTCTCCCATCTGGGCCAGCCCTGTTCTGTTTCCGTGAGTTTCTTGATGTATATGCACAGGGTTGTAATACTCCATCATTTTCTTGTAATAAAACAGCCTCCACTGCCACATCACTTGCATCTGCCTTGTATTATGAGGGGCTTGTCCCATGTCTGGGTGCCTTAGTACTGGTTTCGGCAGAAAAAATCTCCTTTAGTCTCTCAACGCTGCTTTGCACTCCTTGTCCATGTTAGTGGCGGGCTAGGTTTTACTGAGGATGTTCCCTTCGTTTTTAGTAAGTTAGTGAGGGCAAGGCTATCTGTGCAAATGAGGGGATGAATTGGCGGTAAAAATTTTGCAAAGCCCAGGAAACTTTGTAGTTGTTTTCTTGTGCGGGGTGGTGCCCAATTTAGTACTGCTTTGACCTTCTCCGGGTCCATTTCAATGCCCTGTGGGGATATGCGATAGCCTAGGTAGTCTATCCTTTCCTGGTGGAATTCGAGAGTTTGGCATATAGGTGAGCGGCTCGCAGCTTCTTTAAAACCGCTCTGACAAGTTTGAGGTGTTCTTCTTTTGTTTCAGTAAAGATAAGAATGTCGTCCAAGTAAACAAGGACCCCCTTAAATAGGTGCTCCCTTAGAACGTCATTGATTAATTGCATAAAGACTGCAGGCCCCCCTTGTAATCCAAATGGCAAGACTTTGAATTGATAGCACCCCATGGGGCAGTTAAATGCAGTCTTCCATTCGTCCCCTTCCTTGATTCTCACGCGATAGTTAAAGCTTATCCTCCGCGTAAGATCTAGTTTAGAAAAAAATGTCCCTTTCGATAGGTGTGACAGCATGTCTTTCATGAGGGGCAGCGGGTATAGGTTGCTTTCACTGATTGTATTCAGGGCCCTATAATCCACGCATAAACGTAAAGAGCCATCCTTCTTCTCTCTAAAAAGGACCGGGGCAGCCACTTTAGGCTTAGCTGGTTCAATGAAACCTCTCTCCAGTTTTTTTTTTATAAATCTTTCCATTTCCTCCTTCT